GAAGCAGCAGCAACAGTCTGCAGAACGCCTGCATGTCTGACTCCACAGGAAACACAGGAGCAGAAATACAACCTGAGGAAAGTATTCACGCCTCTCCATTATAGAGCATCTTATCTAGAGTTCAGCCTTGTTTAGAGTAACGAGGCAGCGGCTCTCTGTCGTCTTTACCTCAATCATTCTTAGAATCTGGTAAAAGATTTCTATAAACTCGCTCTGACCGGACCAAGAAAAGATACCATAGAAATATTTCAGCTCAGCAACAGACGGAGGAAAACGTGCTTTCACTGCTGCCCTGAAACATCTGGAGAACATCTGGATCAACATGAGGGTCCCTGCAGAGCAGACCATCCAGCCGCTGGGCTGAACACACTGCCCCCTGCAGGAGGGAGGCCCAGAAAGCTCTCTACATACTGCATTTCTATGTGTTTCTGTGCCTCATTCTGTTGTCATGGCAGGTTCAGCTCCTTCCCTGAAGTCCTCTATGACATCATGACCTTGGAGACGGTCTTGCTGGGGAACAACCAGGTGTGTGGTCTGGATCCCGGCCGTCTGATCAAGCTGCTCAGTCTGTCCACTCTAGATCTATCTAACAACGACCTGCTGAGCGTCCCTCCTGAGCTGGGCCTGTGCACCAGCCTCCGGTGAGCCCAGCTTCCCTCCGCATGTCCTGGTTCACTGTTTCACCATCATTGTTCACTATGACATCATCCCTCAGCTGCCTGAGTCTGGAGGGGAATCCGTTCCGCACGCCCAGAGCGGCCATCTTGGCCAAAGGAACCGACGCGGTGTTGGAGTACCTGCGCAGCCGCATCCCGGCGTGATCCGAACGTTTTACAGAATCTCTCAGTTCCTGAGTCTGATGCTAAAATCATCAGTTGTTTGTAGAAACGATGTTTTTGAAGAACATAAAGAAAATTCCTCCTTCAGTTTGTTTGTCTGATTTCTTTCCTCACAGTCTGCTGCTCATCCAGGACCGGCCAGCAGGGGGCAGCAGCTCCAGCTCTTTAATACAGAACAGCTGTTTGAAAGAAATAATTCAGTATTAAATTGATTTAAAGCCACAGAGCTGCTGGATAAATCGCTCTATTAACTCCCTACTAGTTTTAATGTAGATATAAGGTAGAATGCTTTTCACTCCCATTCTAGATGAACTGTTTCTATGGCATTTCTTTCATTTGGTCAACAGACTGATTTTAGGTTCCAGTCTGAGGCGATGGAGGTAGTCTGTCGGTGTTTTAAATCGACCGATTATTGAATCTTTGAATATTTTATTCATATTGCATCGATTCCATGAGGAAGGATCCATCTTCTGATGTTAATGACAAACATGAAGCCAAATGTTTTTATTGTGAACGGTGAGGAAGGAGAAGCTGAGGGAAGCAGCCGAATTAACAGATTCAACTCTTAAAAGGATTTTCTATGTAGACACATTTTTCCTTAGTGTTTCACAGGTCGGCCATCTTACCTGGGGCTGCCTCCCTTTCCTGACATAAACTTATTGCATCAGTCATTCCTGAATCTAACGGCGGCCATGTTGACCTTATTTAGTGGCTGGAATGATTAATATTTAGTTCATTTGTTCTCTGTGACGTCAGAATCTCCTTGGAGAGACAGTCAGCTTCTGGAAAACAGATCCCCCCCCCTCAGGAAGCTGGATGCTGGGCAGTGACAGACCGGGCTCTGTGCTGCAGGTGAGGGAGGACTAAATTAAAACGTCTTTTTAAAGCCCTCTGCAGAGCATTCCTTATTTCTACCTTTAACATAATTTTCTCCTCCATCCGGTCCCTGATTGGCTGCCGTGTTCCGATTTCATAGAAAGGTTAAACTCAGAGATCAGCGCTCCTCCCTCCATGCAGCGCTCCTGTTTGACTCCTCAGCTCTATCTAGTAGCAGCAGGTGTGGGAGGGGCAGTGAATGCTCTCAGTGTGGAGTTCACCACTGGATGCTTCCCCGCCCAGTTTGAACAGGGATCCACCACAGGCCTCTGGTGTGAACGCACCATGATGGTCCTTACTGGTTCTAATGCTACGTTCAGAACCCAGGCAGCAGAAACATGCTTGCTGCTTCAGAGATGAAGCTTCTTTCATTCTAATGTGCTGAAGCATCTGTGCTGCTCCAGCTGCATGGTGGAACAATGGGTGTGATGCGTGGTGGGCGGAGCTACGCTATCCGTTCCCTGCCTGGAACAACAGCAGCTAGATTAGCTGTGATCAGTGGGAATAAAGTAGCTTGAATCCATTTTGCTACCTTTGCTGTTTTAGGTCAGACCGCAGCTTTATGCTGCACGCTGGAGAGGCTCCCGGGCCTGAGGCAGCTGCTGCTGGGGATTCCCAG